ACAGCCGAGAACTTGCCTAGTTTCGTTTTTCGTACCCCTCCAATAAACTTACGACCGCGTACCAGTAACTGCAAAAGGTGCCTCACGAGTCACAACCTTGAGTGTTCAAGAAATCGCAATCGCAAATCGTACAGAACAGCAGAAAAGGTTGTACGGGTGGGTGGAGAAGCATTTTAAATTCCTTCCTCGGTCACCTTTTAAAGACTAAGAAATTAAGCGGTTTATGGCATTGCTCACAAAGCTACAGAGCAGACTTTCCAGAACCACTGATGTATTGGGTTTATTTCACGGCGTTTGTAAACGTACCACGTTTGTTTGAACCCACCCAAAATGCGACATTGAAAAAAAAAAAAAAGTGTGCTGGAACTGATCTTTATTTGCACAGAAAATATGCACAGCTGTTTGAGTGTCAAACCGGTGTATAATTTTTTTTTATCTCATTCAGTGCAGGAAGTTTCTTCATCAAGGGTTCCTGATACCGAAGCAAGAAGAAGACCCAAGAACAACATACAATGTGTTCAGGAATAAAAATCGTTGAACAGAATAACAATTGTTGAAGATGCTCTAAACAACAACTCTTTGGCTGCATTCTCACAAATTTCCAAACTGATTAGTAGCGTAACGTCCCTAAACGTTTAGCGGTACCGCCTTGGCACTCTGTTCAGGCCACCACCCCAAAAGTTCCCACGATCGCAAGGCGGGTTCGAGGGATCTTCAGATTCGGTGTACACTGCATTTAGTCTGTACACCCCCTCCACCCGACGTCTGTTTTCTGGAAAACTCTTTACCGGCGTGAGTAAAGGAAACGAACTGGCGGAAGAAGTAATCATGCATCTACACGCGCAACAAGTACCTAAAATGGCCTCGGTTGCAGTGAAGAAGCACTGAAGGAGGGAGCCGCTCGCGCATGCGAGCCGCGCACTGAACCGCGGCCGTACCTCTCTAGCTAAAGACGGGGCGCGACACACGGCCACACTACTACAACATATAATCGTTTGCGATGCTTCCGCTTACGGATGATAAGAGCGTTTTCTTGTCTAACCCGCGAAAGTTTCGTAAACAACACGAGGACTCGGTTTTTCTTTTTGAACACTTTAGAACTTGTCTGACACGTACTTTTTTTCCGTCTCCGTCAACGTATCCATCCTGCGTACACAAAGGTACACAGCCATGCGATGGCATATTGATGCGACGCGCGCAGACTGGGACTCAAAGTGTAAGCAGCACCGTTGTAGGCGGTAAGATGCAGGCGGTTCTGGCGGGACCCTTGCGTGATGGCGGCGGACCTAGTTGCAGTTGCGTGCAACAGGTGGCGCTCTACTCCGAGAGGGGTCTATGACAATTTAGGCCTAGAGACCAGTACGGACGAGCGCAGGCACGGCGACGGCCCCCGGGTACAAAGTTAATCAACGCCTGCCGCGCGCGTTCCACCGCTCATTTAAACAACAACAAACAATCAGGGTATTTTGCCACTGAAAGTTACTTCCGCCGTTTCAGCGGAATAAACGACTACGGTTTTGATTTTGGCGTACGCCATAACGACTACCGTAGTCCAAGCAGAGGGGTAGTCAGATCGGCGTCCTACACCGTAACCGATCGAGTTCACTTGCCTGCCGGTCGCTAGCTTTTGAGTATAGATCTTTTCTGTGTACTCTCGTCCCCAGCCACCTAATAAACGTATCCGGTATGGGCGACAAAACAATAATAAAACGTTTTAACCTCTAATTAGTGAAAAAAATAAGGGGGAGGCACAACGATAACGTGTGACGGTTACGCTTATATCCTAAGTGTCTTCTACTGGTGTGGCGACAGAAAAACAATGCTTTCGCCCATACTGGAAGTGACGACAATTCAATATGGCGGCGCCCTTGAAGAAAAGGTCTATACGCACTAACTCTTCCTACATATGCTGGATATCTACCACGTATACAGTATTACAATGAAAGTCGCTTACGTTTAATTTTTAAACGGCTAGCGCAGCAGTGGTAGGTGCCGCTTGGACCGCGTACTCGTTGTAGGAGAACGACCATGACTTCAAGTCCGCCTGGCGACTGATCTCCAGTGCTGCCGGGTCCTCGAGCGGCTAGTTTCGGTATTGTCAACCTCGCCCCAAATGAAACTTTGAGGCGTCGATATCTTTAAAACTACGCACAATACCGAGAAAAAAATTACACCTTGTAATTCAGGGACGCTGACTGTGTCAAAAACAGTCGTAACCCCAAAAGCGAAACTATAGACCCGAGTTTCCCTTTAAATGCACGCGTAAATTCTAAATTCAAGAGCAGACCACGCCCAATACGCAAATAAAATTAAAAACACTTAACTAACCATGAGAGAACAAGAGACAACTGAACAAGAAAATTTAGTAATGCACAAATATTTATTACGATCACAAAGACAACCATAACACAAATAACTGTGCTGCAGTTGCCCTTAGAACTTAGTACTCCATTTTACCGTAAATGGAAACAAAGGAGGACTGGATAGAAGCACCGAAGGCGCTTCTATCCAGTCGTTCTTTGCTTCATTTAGGTTTTTATCCGTTTTTTATATGGTCATGAACCAACTATTCCAAATGAACATTTTGTTCCGAAGGCGGAGCTACGAGAGCGAGCACGATGCTTCAAACGAACCTGTAATTCACGCACCCTCGTGAAGCTAAAGCACCGTTCAAGACAATACGTTCGTGTTTGTAGCGTCTGCTCGCTTGAATTTATGGGAAACAGAAAAGAGCTTTTCGACCAATGCCCCAGCTAGTGGCTGTTGTAGATCCTAACAGCTTGGCCGAGATAGGGTTTCAGCGGCCACTCTTTACGTATCATATAATACTTAATGGCGCCTCGGCACCGTGGAATGCGGACGTGCTCAGTTGCCGCTTTGCCGACGCCGGAGTTTCTCCGCTCTGGGTTTCCGTACTAGCGCTGCACGGGCTGTGATACTCGTATATCTGTGTGCTCGTGGAAAACGGTGAATGCGGTTCCTCCACGAGTGATATGGATGCGATGATATAAGAATGGAAAGGGGTCACATACCAATGGAAAGGGGGAAAGCGAGGTAAGGAAGAACTATTGCTAGCGTTTCTCCATCCGATGAAACCCATTGATTGCCAAATATTTCTTGTTTTGTACATATAGTGCCTTACTTTGAAAAAGGGGGATGTAGTGTAATGGCACCTTGATAATTGTAGTAAAAGGTACGGACAGTTTATAACCATCCGTCGCCTGAGCGACGCAAGATAACTTGCACCCAGCGGGCGCATGCGTACCCTTGCTCTTGAGATAAGAGAACCGTGGTCGGTGGAACTGACACGAAGAAAGGGAATTGCTCGCTTGGGTGGGGCCAAGGAACGAACGACTCGCTTCCATTTGTCGTACGTGAAACACGACAACGTGGTCACTCTTCTGAGCGTCATTGTGGGCAGGGCTTCTGGAGAAGTGATATTTGCAAAACTAATACTAGTTTGCAAATTCTTTTTATCTTGCTGGCCTCTAAAGTAATTACTGTCATTTCTTCAATTACAACATGATTCGTAACCCCAATATTTAAAAAAAAGTTAATTAACAAATTTTAGTTTATTAGCAAACTTACCATGACGACTATTCCCTCAGCTAATATCCGCCAAACTCGAAAACACCTAGTGACGACGACATTCAGCTAGCAGTGCGGACTCTTCTTTTTTTATATTCTGCTGTCATTAAATTCCATTACCCGGTATATAACTTGCTATATTTAATTCACGTACCATTGCATCTTTTCGAACTCCACGGGGTGGTCTTTCGATAGCTTACAAACTCGTATAGTTCCAATTACCTGCTTCTCTCGGATCATTGTGTTATTTTCGGCAGTATTTCAGAAATAATTCTGATAAAAACTGGGAAGGGAGGAAACTTCACCAAAGCCAGTACTGCGTGATCATAATTTGTCTCGGTACTGCGTGATCATAATTTGGCGGAGGTTGGACGATATGCTTTGTGCTCTCTTCTTTTTCTTAATCCCGCAATCTTATTAGCTGCGCCGCAAAAACAAGATACTGGAAACTCGTCAAGCCCGGCGTTTCTTTAAAACTAGCAAAAGGTATCTAATGAGGTACTGCCCCGTATCATCCTACTGCGAATGCGCCTAGAATTGCGTTGGCTATTCCAGTGAAACTTATTCCGACCTGTTTTTGTTGTTTAAGATTTCATCCTCCAGTCGCTCTAATAAACAGCTGCACGTCTTTTCTCAGCTGTACTGCCATGTACGAAAAAAATGCGAAAAGCGGAGCGCGTGTCCTTCGATACAGGCTACGCTACCCAAAGTAATCTAGGTAATTGTAAAACAGCAGGAAGGAAAACAGGCTGCGAGGGTGCACGCCTACTTCTCTGGGGTAGACCTTTGTAGCCCCCTCCACACCGCAGTTTTATCAGTTCCTATCACAAAGTGGAGAATAGGTGGCGCAGCAGGTATCAATGGCCACGAGCTCCGTTGTTCGCATTTCATTCATAGTTGATAGTTATTTCCACTTATGATCCTCCAGTTTATCGCGCATTAAGTTTTGTACGATCTAACACGTATTATCCGACGAAAATTGCATATGTTACGTTGTTTTGCCTGTAAAGATCATTCACTGTTATTTTAAACCTTTATTTAAAGGTTCGCAACGGTTTGAATAAAAGTGTTCGATAAATGTTTACGGACTTTCTCTCGGAGGAAGGGCAAAATTGTGTAACAAATCAAGAGGCGTCATCTTTATTGTATTCACCAAGTTCATTAAGTGGGGTTCGTAGAATTTTTAGTGAAACAGCGAACTCAGCTATACACACATGACCCTTAGGTTGACCACGAGAACAGGATACTCTAAAGCGTATAAATTAGAACATGGTCTACTTGCGCTGAAGGTAAACCTCAAAACACAAGTTCACTGACACTGTGGGTATGTGCTGGAAACTCAAAGGCTTCATTCGTGAAACACGAGTACTTGAAGCCTTGTGTTGCTCTTGCACACATCGTTCACACCTGTAAATAATCGTGCTCTGCTGAGACTGACAATCATTTTTATGGGACCCTACGCTCCAGCTTCAGTCGTATTCCATTTTCAGGCAAAGTCAAGGAGAGCGGGATGCGAATCTTGGGCGGATCTTGCGTTTCCTCACACAGCAGAATCTTGAACATTCGCACCACTTTGACGAGGGTTGCTTTCAGCTCGAGCATTGCAAGGCGGCTGCCAATGCAGGCACGAGGTCCCAGGCCAAACGGAGCGTACGCTTCGGGTGGGTGCCTCTCTTGACCCTCGCTGAATCTCTCCGGGTCAAACTTGAAAGGATCCGGCCAGTAATCAGCATCGTGGTGAAGGTGCCACACAGGGACTGTGACGATGGTACCTGACGGGATGAACTGGCCCATCACTGTAATGTCTCGCCGGCAAATACGAGACACAAATGCCACGGTGGGTGGGTACAGGCGCAAGCTTTCTTTGAAAACAATGTCCAGACGTTTCAGCTTGCGGAGGTCGTCTGAACTGAGTTCTTGGTTACCAGGGAACATGTCTGTGAGCTCCTGGAAAAGTCTGTCCTGCTCTTCAGGGTGCTTGGCAAGGAGGAACAAGGTGTAAGCCAAGGCCAGCGATGTCGTTTCCAAGCCGCCTAAGATGAAAATGAAGCAGTTAGCGATAAGCATGCGGTCTTCAAGGAGCAGGTTTTTCTTATCAGTGTGGTCTCTATCGTTGCTGGTGTCCGACTGGCAGTTCAGCATCAGCTGAAGAAGATCTGGTACCGGAGGCGCTTGACCGCGCCGTCGAAGAGAGATTACGTTGCGGAGGTTGGCGATTATATTTTCTTGGGTGACCATAAATTGCCATTTCTTGTGAAGTATTTCGATTACGTTTTTAAGTGCTGGGAACCAGAAAGAAATTCTCGCTCCAACATTGTTGGTATTGCGAAATATGTTCTTAAGTTCTTTGAGCAGAGGATCGTCCGGATTCCTTTGGCAGTCCACCTGTTTAGTTGAAAGCAAAAACACAGAATATTAACTCATTTAATTTTCAAGACGCATTGACTGCATGTTTACAGAATACGTAATAACAACTGGGCACACAACGCGCAGAAAGGAAACAAAAAAAGAACAGGGACAATGTAAGTCGCCGACACACGCCCTATCTCTTTCGCGGTCAGCCGGACGAGTCCCTTTCCCGAAAGCGGGAAAACAAGAGGCGAAACCTCCTCGCCTGTCGGCAGTGATTCGCATCCGAGCGAGGGCACGAAAAGAGGTCCCCCCGGGAGAGAGTGAGAGGAGAGCCCCCCAAGCCAGGTGGCCCTCCGTCTCACGAACAGGTTGGAGCTCACGGCGAAGACGGCCGAGCGTTCCGACCCGCGGCCGTTATCACAGCCATCGGGGAAGGGAGACCAGAGGAATCCCCAGAAGTTGAAGTGGACAGCAAAACTATCAGTAGCATATTATCCGGTATGCTGATTAGACACCATGTATATTTACCTGCCAGGCCAGAGCACATTTTGTGATGACATCAAGTGAGAGACCTTGGGCTACCTTGTACATCTCCAAGACTTCTCCTTTTTGGGAAGATTCAGTCAATATGTCCACAAACACATTGGCGCACTCGTTGATGGTCTGCATCATCAGCCTCATCTTCGCTGTGCTGAACGCCGGGTTGAGGAGCGTGCGCACTTTTTTCCATTCGTCACCTGCGAGCATAATAGTTTGTAACTTACTCTCAGCACTACTCTCTGTCTGAGTACTGCCCTGATACTCTGACAAGTTTTTTTTATATTGTACAAAGATTAGACTCATTGTCTTGAGGCGTCCCTTGTGACTTGTGGTAGATAAGTGCTGCAGGATGTTAGAACCACTTCACAGTCCTGCAGCCTCGGTGTCTCCGAGGCAAGTCATCGACATACAGGTCCGGACAATGCGCCGTGCAACTGATATTGGTTGGTCAATCCCAACTCTATTTCACGTTTAGTTTCAGACCAACTCCCTATTGACAAACAACATCTACCCATATGATATAGTTCCTAAATACCTTTTTAAAAAAATCACAAGACATTGTATGCGATTGTTTCTCAGTGAAGAACTTACATTTCACTTGATGCTTGTCCATGGTAGCATACTATACTTTCTCTCTCAGGTGGCACATAAAAGGCTTTCTTTTAACTTGTCTTGCATAATTTTAAAGCAGCGATATATTAAACAGATATGACGCCCAACATTGACAATATTTTGTGCGTTTTATGGCTATAATACATGTATTATACGAGTATAAGTGTATTGAACCACTTAAAATTATGAAGTCCGCTGATAACGCTTCTGGGATATTGTCTGTCACCTAAATTTGTATTTATTTTTTGTGCGCCGTAAACGTATTTTTTTAGGCCGAAACTTTAAGCTGATATCAAAACAAAAATTTACTAGATTTCAGATTTTTCTTATATGGATCCTTTGTGTGGGAATGTGAGATAAGGGTCGTATGTGGTTTTTTTTTTTTTTCAGTAGGTTAATAACAAGCTGCGAGACATGAATACTATGAAGAATTCAGTATTGATTTAAATATTTCCCGTTATCTGTTGAGTTTACAACGGGAGTGGTACTATCATAAAAGGGAAGGTAGAAAACACCTATAATATAAGGTTTCCACAGTAGATCTATGTTGGATGAGTCATTTGCATAATAGGGTAATATATTCTTGCGAAACAGACCTGTCACACCAAAAGGTCGGGGTTGATACAAGTATACAAATCAAAACATAGAATTGACCCAGAAAAAAAGGCACTGAATCTAACAGGAGTCTCTCTGGCTGGATACTTAAGCATGACCCGCACATAGCGTATCTTCGGCGTTTTTGTGCGCCATTTAGCCATCGTAAATGCTTCGGGACGAGTTTTTTAGAAGAGACCTGAGCTCCACGGGATGGCGATCACGTGCCGCCCATTCCGAGGCGGCTGGAAGGCAACGGACGGATCCGCAAGCGGGCGTCTTCCTGGCTATCAGTGAAGTGGGCTCCGTGGTACGGACCGTGAACCCGGCCTATGTAACATGTGGTTTTCGCAGCTGGACACTGGCGGTGTCGGCAACCTCAGTCGGCTTGTCAGGTTCGAGGAGCGGCCATTATGAACAGCAGACCGTCTCCGGCTGGTTGCTCCAAAAATGAGAGTCCGTCTTCCGCTCGTCGATTCGGAGCGCGTCCCACTAAGCAGACGTTTGTCTCCCTCGCTTATTATGGAAAGCGTTCTGAATTTATCAGCGACCTCAAGAGAGACGCTTCCTCTAGTGTGCATGAGAAGGGATCAATTAATGCTGACGTGAAGCGACGTCCCAGCGTCCCATCATGCAGGTTCCGCGAAGGCGTGCTAGCGTTTGTTATACGATCCCTGCGTGTCTCGCAAAACGCACTGAAGCGGCGTTTGAAAGGGTACGTAACGCGAAGCATCATGGAAACGCCACTTAAAACTGCCCGATATTGCTCGCCAGGGGTGCTGCTCAAAGCGTGGTATATAAGGGTCTACGGTGTTTGTCGCGGAGACGCAATCGTTTTTATCTAAAATACTACCGACTGAAGCTTTTTTTTTTTTCTGCGCTATTTAGTACCGCTGTGGTGTACCCGTGCTCCGCCACTGGTTTCGGAAACTTTTAATATTTCGTCTTTTCTTTGCATTATTTTGTAAACACTCGTGTTTTGGCATCGGTGTTCCAATAAAATGTTTAGAACACTCTGTAAGAAGTTTTATACTTTGGGATATTTTTATAGTCCGTCATTTGACTGTTTATGGACTGTAACTCCCAAACATCCGGCGGGTTAATGTGCTAGTGCAGGACAATCGTATCGCATGGAGGCCACAGAGGAGAACCGTTTCCGAACACCGCTCTTCCGTGGAGCTTGTCAACCGACAGATCTACGTATGTTGGCAACGACACATATGCTCTGTTTCACTTCCGGTCCGACCGCAGCAGAACGAATGAATAGATGAAGCCATTCAAGCAACGCCAAAAGTGTACCGTCACGGCGCTCGTTTTCTTTCCTGGGTATTTTATCACCGGCTAAATCAATCACGCACAGAAAAAAAACTCTCGTTGGCTTCGTCATGATAAGAAAGACCAGGAAGGCGGGATCGGCGGATGAGTGTGTTAACGCGCCGCCACTCGGAGCGCGTGGAGCGAAAGCTCGCGCTGTAGAACCCAGGTGTACTGCCTTCTATCCCCCATGCCCGTTTTGCTCTGAATGAGCATCGTACCGGCCTGCGGTCTTGTATCACTTGTTAGTAGTGCACGTTGAAGATCCTAAGCTAGCGGCTGTACAGCACTTTTGAATTTCCCATCTATTACTGAGGAACAGGGGGCCACATTGAGGCTTAGTAACTTCTGGCCGTCTAAACATGCATACGAGACAATAACTTTGAAGACCAGGGAGCACCGAATGTGCCCCGCGTGCCACAGAGTTGCGCGCAAGAAACTAGCACAAACTGTGAATCGCGTGTGGCTTATGCTTGTTTTCTTTTTTTGCCATTTGTGCACTTCAGATGTTAGCTAGGGTCAGACCAAGCGAACGAGGGAGCCGCAAGGTGGAGATGCGTGGCGTCGCTGAGGAACGTGGTCGCATGGTAGATGACATCACACCGTTCTCGCCGGCACTTTCCGGGAGCCCAATCCCCCTCCAGTGCCACTCTACTACGCAATTCAGTGGCTATCGGAGACGAGACGTTTTTGGTGACTCCCTCTTGTTGTTTCAATCTGTGACATCACGACTAGGATTACCAATTGCCGGCGACAATTTTAACGGCGTGTGTAAAAAACACGGTGGAGGTTTCAACTCGACGCGTTCTTGAGAAACGTGACAAAGAAATGGGCTGAAATCGTTGCCGCTGCTACCCTGATTCTCGAAGAAATGCGTGAGCATTTCGCTCAGGCGTTATGTATCAGACAACACGGTGAATGGAGCCTCTCGGCACTTTTACGTGGGGCGACCATTCCCGAAACATCTCTTATCCCTGGAGCAAGCAGATCAGTTCACTTAGCGTGTCCATGAAGGACGTACGCGTGATCCGCGTCAAACGACACGGCCTTTTTGTTGTCCGCATTATTCCCCGGGATCCTGCGTTTTACCCTGCGGCCGATGGATCATGAGCATGAGCAGCCTTCTCAACGTAAAGTAAAACGTATGCCGCCGTTCGAATGTTCTGTACCAGTCAGTTCCTGCTCCCGAACGCCGGCGGCCTCGGTTGGAGTCAGCGCACTTTCCCTCAATCGGCGCGCGCGGTCCGCGTACTGTTGTCTTCGGAGGGCTAACCCCTGCTCCCGAACGTCGGCGGTTTCGTGCAAAAGGCGTCGTCGTGCCTCTTGGGCCTTACGTGGCCGCGCATGTTGTGCATCCAGGGGCGACGACACCGTGCGTTTACGACCCGGTGACATGCTTAGAGGACTGGCGCGTCAAGAACGGCGTAGCAGGCGTGGTAGGTCAAAGAACGAATCCGCAGCCCGTGTGCGTCCACAGGTCTTCAGGTCTTCCGAGGGCATCTAAAGCGCACACCCGCAGCCCGCCGAACATCTGTTGGCGCTTGGAGAAGGTGTTTCCTAACCAGTTTCCACACCCCGTGCGACTGTGGCGCAGTCCCAGGACGATGTTGCGAACTTTGGTTAGTCCAAATCAACGTTACTAAAACACTCAGTTAGGAAACTCCCATAGAGACAGCTTCGAAAAAGTGGCCCCAATCTGTCTCCGAGCACCGAGCTAATGACGAGCACAACGCCACCATTTCTCCCGCAGCGGCCGCTGGAGGCACTGCACGTGACTTCTATTTTGGCTTTAAGAACAGATACTGCGGTAAAGGTTCCAGGGGTGCCACCCCCGTCTCCCCGCCGGACGCGCCGCGTTTAACTATCGAAGTTAAAATGCACCTAGGGCGGGACGCGCTACCTGAAAGGCCAACTGAGGCATGGTTGTATAAAAACAATATTAATTGTGCCGCAAAACCCTGCAAACTAAAGATTTTAAAAACATAACGCGCCCCTCTTTTTGTACTAAACTCCAATAAATTTCATACAAAAAGAGTCTTTTTCGTTTGTTTTTACGCAAAAACAGGCTTTCAAAAAGCTCAAGGTGACCACAGTACAGACAAATGATAAAGAGTGGCGCTGTTGTCGCATTTAGCTCGGTCTCGGTGGACGCCAGCGGCCCAGATTTCGACGGCGAGTTTCCCAACTGAGTGTTTTAGCAACGTTGGTCCAAATAGTCCAAAGCAGTCTAAGGTCAGCGCAGGTACCAGGACAAAAAAGCTAATGCTTTAAAGAACTACACAAAATTTAAACAGCTAGATCATTTTTGAAATGGAGTGCCCATAGGTTACTTTCTATATACACCAAGTGTCGCGATCGTTAAAGCTCTAGTATTTGCAATTATGAATTTACTAATGTTGGTCATTTTCATCTGACGACGGGCAACACTGCCCAAGTTAGTCTCACCATGTTAGCCGCATTAAGAAATATGCAGAAGGGGAACTATTTGGCTTAGAAGGGCGATATGATGGATTATAGTTTTATTTGATTGTCTAGGTGGCGCAAGCTACCGCCCATTATTAAGGGTGCAGCCGTTAGTATCTATTCATTCACTCAAGCGTGGTGTCCATAATCTACGTGATATTTGAAGGCCCTCTCATTCTTGGATCCCCCATGCTCGCCAGAGCGCTCATGGCCA